AAGCTCAGAGCTACAGCCCAGGTAAAAGAGACTTCATCACCTATTTCAATTTACACTTGCGCAGCACCTGGCTTTTCTGTCCAGGACTGGACTCACACACTACTGAGACACGAGGAAAGAAAGGGAAAAAGACAGAAAATACTGTTAGCACTACCTGCCTTGAGCCAAATCCTGGAGCCACTAGGGAGTTTTTCTTAATTAAGCACTATTTTCTTGGCAGCTCTGAGAATCTCAGAAACGAAATTCTGTTCAAGTTACACGAGCTGATTTTTAAGACCTGCTAGTGACCAAATATGTAAAGTACTGTATGAAATTCCAGACGCAGGATGATAATTGCCTGCAGCCACAGTCATCACGTTTCATTCAGCAAGTGAATCTTTACTGGGAACATTAGCGAAGGAACACATTGTGCTTCTCAGCTGTAAGGACACAACAGTATTTCACACAACAAGTATTTCACGTGCCCTGGGAGAGGACGCTGGAGCAAAATCACAACAAGCCCTGCATCAGAAAATCACAACCAAAATCCAACTGAGCGCCTGCTTCGTCCCATGCTCCGGCCGCTAACCTGACAGTCGACGATGCAGAAATGAATGAGATGACTCAAACTGATATCTGGTGCCTGCATGTTAATCCTGTCCCTTAATAAACTGCCTTTATTAGTTTAACAACCTAAAAATAACTGGCTGCATGATACTGACCAACTCTAATTAAAACATCTGCAAGCCCATCTAGCCCGAGCTACCCTTTAGATCATGTGCCACCACTTCAAAGCCTGTGCATCAAGTCAGTAATTGTAACACTGCATCTAAATATTTAAGCTAGGGGCTGGTAGTCGCGTGTCCCATTTACAGTCAGCATCTGTCCTCTAATTCCATTACAGTACAAAGCAAAAATGTTTCCCAAAACTTGCAAACAGGAAAAGCATCACACGGCGAGAGAAGCAGCAGCAGCAGCTTGAACTTTCTAGCTGCTGAGCAGGGCTTTTGTGCTAAGGTCCTTTTTCCCCCCCCCTTCAAACTCCCCACATACACACACAAAAATAGGGGTGGTGCTGAAATTGTATTAATGTGAGCCTCAGGCACACAGAAAAAAAGAAAAGAGGAAGGGGAGGGAGAGGGGGGAAGGGTTTGGTCCAAGATGAAAGTAAGAAGGAAATAAAGGAGGCAATTTAGTCTGCTGTAGCCTGAATTGCTCTCAGTACAGCCAAGGGTAGAGGCTTGGGATGAGTAGGGCCCTTTTTGGACGGGTGTGCATGACTGGGGGAGGATCCGCCAGGACAGGGCCCGGGGGCCAATTCCGCCGGCCGGGAACAGAGGCCCCCTTTGAGGCCGGGCGGGGGGGTCCCGGCCCCAGCCCCAGCCAGCGCCGCCCGCTCGCAGCGGACCCGAGGACCAGCTCTACACCCCATCGTTTGAGCGCTGAAAGCCACCGGTTTCTGCCAGAAAACAACAGCTATCTTATGAAGAGGGAAGTTATCAGATTAGTCAGCAAACCATGCCGCGCATAACTCCCACTAAAGGTACAAGCGACTCCCTCTTCTGTAGCGGTATGCTAAAAATATGCCCCGATGTACCATATAAAGGCACAAAAGTTTCTCTTTCATGTTCTTTATTTATGGCTTATGCTTTTAAGAAAAATATATCACGCATGCAGAAATACAGATATGCTATTATAGAATTATAAACTTCCTGATACGCACTGTGACAATCACGGTTTTCTTTAAATATATATCCAAAATCAGGGTAGAGGGTGACACTGACAGAAATGCTGAAAAACAGCAAAGCAGGCTGCACATGTGGCGTCTGTAAACGCCGGCGACAGAATCAGATTTAAGTGTCTGTGGACAGAGGCTGAAACAGAATCACAGCGGGGCATATGAAAGCTTACCTACGCTTATATACATGATGGGAGAAATCCCAAGCCACATGATATACTGTTTCTATCGCACATTTTTCAAAAATATCATGTTTCTCTTTTCCCTAATCCCACTCTGCTGTAAGTACTCCCCAAATCCCAAATCTTGAATTAGCTACCATTAAAATTACAACAATTGTTATCCTTTCCCTCGGAAAAAATGCCTCTCCCCGAGCCACCCAAATGCCCACAGCGAGGAGGGAATTTCAGGCAACGTCAGCAAATGTCCAGCACTAGATGTGTGCTCCCAAGCAGGAGAGTGATTCCACGCTCAGCCCCAGGACTTGCTTTCTGACCTAACCAAAAGCCTTCCCTTGCGTCTACCTGCACCCACGTTCCTGCTACCGGGATACCTTGAGCCTGAGACCAGAGCTGTAAAAATTACTCAAACTATAAAAGACTCCAAAATACTGCACTTTTTTCACTCCATAACGCAGAGCGCTCCCACAGAGAGCCTTCGGCGGTGAGCTACCACACGATGGTTTTGCTGCGTGCCACCAGGATAACCTTCAGACATACTACAAGCAACCCAAGTGTCGGAGAGGGCATCCGAGACGCCCTGTCAGCAGGCACCCTCTGCTACCCCAGGCCGCGCGGCCAGGCTGGTGGGCGCTGGCAAATACGATCCTCCAGCATCAAAACCCTCAGGAGCGCTGCCAGTTATTTCAGTATGAGAGCAGGCTCTGACGTGATGATTTTTTATAGACGGGGTGAAATGGAAGCTCCTTTGCTGGCAATGGGAATTGAAGCAGAACCTTTTTTGTTGGCCAGGTACAGAAAGTAGCGGTGGATGTATTTTGTGGTTGTTTTTTCCTTGTAACAAACTCTCCAGTGTGTTGTCCCTATAGTATCACACAATACATAAGGTATACGTATGGTAACAAATATTTTCTTGAGCAGCAGCTCTCTCGCACTGCAGCATCCCCACCACTCCAGTAATAAGATTAAGCAACAGCTTGCTACTCAGGGAGGGGGAGCAGGCGTTGCTGCGGGGAAGAGCACGATCTCCCTCCAACTGCCAAACCTTCCCAGGCACTGCCACGGAACAGACGGGATTATCCAGCTGCCGTTTGCACAGAACTGCCCGGCCACGTTCATGCAGCAAAAACGTGCGTGCGCAAGGACAGGACAGGGCTGCGCTACCCCATTTAGTCAGGGGGAATTTTGCCACTGACCGAACTCGGAAGAAGCAAAGTAGGACATTCACAGCCGCAGAAAGTGAAGCAGGGGGTACGTCGGAGGGCAGAACGCAGCCTCCTCGTACGGCCGTGCTGGGGGACGCGAGCAAGCCCCCGTTCGCAGCGAGGCACTGCCAGCCCCAGTGCTTTTCCTGCAAGAGTCTCGGGGCTCCCCCGGGCTGGAGGGCGGCAGCCGCGCACCCAGACACTGATTTACAGTAGATCAGGAGCTGCACTTTAAAGAGCAGAGAGTCAAAGAACAGGAAGAGTATTTCAAAGAGAAGTAGAGGGGTGGGTTATACTGATAATAGTATTTTTTCTCTTGCTGTCTCTATTAATTACTTTTTGTTCCATAAAGCAGGGATATTATCAAGGCTTCCTATCTTCTGTTTCTAATCTCTGCTGAGAAATTCAGGAAGACAGAAAAGCTAGATATTTTAAAACAACTAGGGCACTGAGTCTAGCTATGTTTCCCTTAGTGCTCATCCCTCTCAGAACAATTTTCTGTTGCCGGAGGTTCTGGGGGAAACTCTGTGACCCATCGCACACGGGCAGCTAGACTGGGCAATCAAACTCTGCCTTCTCACCTTAATCTATTACTTCGTTAGCATCTTCTGCGTGTTTGTATTACACACATCCATCCAAACACAGACACACAGAAGATGAGGTTTCCCTGAAAGCTTTATTAACAGAGTTGAAAACTAAGTTTTGGGAGTGTTTTAGGGTTTGTTCCTACACAACAAGGAGATATCCTATTTTTAAAGAACGGGTTTCAGTTGTCCTTCTTGAATGGTACTCAGCATCTCTAAATGTCTAAAAAATGCTAGAAACATTTTCTAGGTAAAAACAGCTACTTTTTCCACGGTGGAGAGTCCATAAAACTGCATGGAGCATCAGCTATTAGGGGCTCATTGAATAATTCATCCCTCATTGCAAGCCCATAATGTCTTTTCTCAGCCTTTTGTGGGGCTGTTTTCTCTTCTTTTCTCCTTGAATTATAAAAAGGTTGCCTTCTTTTGTTCACATCAAGCTGCTGCTAGCTGAAGCTTTGTCTGTGCAAAGCCAAAGTGTGAGTTTCAATGGACTCCCCCCTCTTTGTTTTCCAAGTTCATCTCCAAGTGTAGATTGTGTATAGAAGGCCTTCTTTGTAAAAGCTGGAAAAGTTGTACAAATGTTTGACCAGCTCATTTGGTACTTTTGTCTCGCCTTCACCAGTGCCTGTGCATGTGGTGGGCAGCCACTTCCACGCACAGGCCGCCCAACCTCGCCTGCCCCTCCACTCCGGCCCGGCCGGCGAGCTGGGCACAACCACAGTGGGGGCAGTGGCTGCCCCCGGAGCAGCCCCTCGCCTCTGCCTTGGTCACGTTGCAACCCCCTCGCAGCCCCTGACCAACCACCAACACAAGCTTTTCCCAGCAGTTTTAAGAGGAGAAGAAACAAAACACGCGGCTCCCTGTCCTGCCCTGCCCACGGCTGCAAAGACTTCGAGGCTTCGCACGCTTTGGCTACAACCACCCCTTCTGTGCAGCTGCAGCCTTTTGCTGGGCTTGGGCTGGCAAAGCAGCCCCTGAGTGGCTGTGCCAGGGGCTCCGCTGCCGGCTCTGGCCCTCCCTGGCCCTGCTATTGAAACCCAAACCAGTGCCGACCCCCATCTTTGCCCCCACCTCCACACCATTCCCACACGCTGCATGGGCGTACCAGTGTGGGAATGGGATGGATGGGACATGGCAGCCGCCCCATCGGGGCTAGCTCCTCACCCGGGCTAGCTCCTCGCCCTACACCTCCTGCTGCGCTGGCCCCCGACGACCTCCAGGAGAAGGGGAGCAATACCCACCAGCACCCTGAGCTGGCATGGGCTGATCCCAGGGCTCCACGAAATGGGCAGGGGGGAAAAGGGGACTTTACCTCTTTCGCTGAGGATGCCGTCAATGCTGTGCTTGGCCTTCTTGTCGCCTTCCTCCACCTCCTTCCTTTCCAGCTCGGCCTCCTCTTCCTCGCCTTTCCCAAACTTGCTCCGCAGGATGCGGCTGATGGAGCTCACTTCGGGGGGAGCGCAGAGCTGTGACCGGGCTCGTCCCCAGCAGCCCCCCACGGCAGCCGGGCCGCGGAGCCCA